AAAAAAAAAATCAGGAGAGCTGTGCAACAAGGTTGCATCCTTACTGTACTTGCTCAATCTGTATGCTAGTCCTATAATCTATGGCTGGATGGTATGAAGACCTCGGTATCAGAATGGGATAAAGACTCGTGAATAACCCATAATACGTAGGCGGATAATACCATTTTGAAGGCTGAAAGCAAGGACTTTCGAGCATTAACTGAGAAGATCAAAGACTACAAGCCTCAGTCTTTTCCCACAATTTTGGAGTTCATGGAAATAGGAAATTTCCTGCTGGAAATAGCACTTCTAAAGTGGCAAATACATCTGGAAGGATCTGGTCCAAGGCCATTTTTGAAGTGCCGAAGAGAGGAGATGTCACTTCGAAGACTAAGCCATGGTATTTTCAATAGCTTCGTATGAATGTGAAAGTTGGAAATAAATGAGGAAGACCAAAGAATAATCAATGCATTTGAATTATGGTGCTGAAGAATTCTCAAAGTACCACGGACTGTCAGAACAACAAACAAATCTGTCTAGGAAGAAATACAGCCAGAATTCTCCTTACAAGTGAGGATAAGACGACTGGGGCTTAGCATCGTTATCAGCAGGGACCACTCCCTTGCTAAGGTAGGTATGTCCCAAATGAGCAAGCTCCTCAATGAGGTGGACTGATACAGAGACTGCCACAATGGGCGCAAACAGAAAACTGAGAAAAACTGGGTGTTTTGTTCCTTTTTGTTATACATAGGGTCTTTTGGGTATCAACCCAACTTGATCGTACCTAACAACAATACAGCTGAATTTCCACTGTAAAAGTGTGCATGACAGAATTGCACTAGTCAGAGAAAGAAGAAATCAATATGATTTCACAGAAATAAAGGGAAATAGTCATGGGACAGGTCTTTGGGTTCATTCGCATCTTGGGGTGGACAACTTCTTATCAAAGACATTCTGCTTCCACATCAGATGGTCATAGGAAAGGTTTAAGCTGACACTTGGAGTGCAGTTACAACAGCAGCGGCACACTATCTGAGTAGATCTATTCAGGATAAGGACACAAAGTTGAGGGGACATGGATCTCCAGTCAACAAAAAGTAGAGACTAAAGTGAGAGAAAGTGAAATGTTCCCAGTTTGGGAACATCATACAATGTATTCCTGATCCAGTGGCAGCAATGTCTACTACCACTGTACGAATATGGAAATATCATGAAATACATTTTAAGTTTTCTGCTTAAGTAATTCCCCTTTCTTTTACATTCTTTCACTCTTTTTTAATTTGGCACGCTGAGTATCACTAAATGTTTTACTGAAAATGTGGTTTCTGGGCTAAAACCTCAGTAATTACAATAGTTTCCTTTAGTAATATAAGTAAATGCTGGCACTGAAAGTGTATCAGGACAATATACATTCCATCAGGATGTTTTAAGTAGAAATTCTTTTTTTTAAAATCATAATTCCTGAGTTCCTCAAAGGCAGGACTTCCTGTCTTTTTTTAAAAAAATCATTTTATTAGGAGTTCATACAACTCTTATCACAATCCATACACACATCAATTGTGTAAAGC